ATGATCCCAAATCCAGTTGACTATAAGTCTGGTTCACGATCTGTCGCCATCGGTGACTTCAACAACGATACTTGGCTAGATATTGTTATTGCCAATTATGCTGCTGACCATATAGCTATATATTTTGGATATGGGAATAGGACTCTGGCAAGACCAATCACATATCCGACCGGTTCCGGCTCTGCTCCATACATGGTCGCCGTTAATGATTTTAATAACGATGATCGACTGGATATTGCAGTCGCAAACTTTGGCACAAACAACATCGGTATACTTCTTGGAACCGAAAATGGATCTTTTGCAAGCCAGAAAACATTTTCAACTGCCTCCTCTCGTCCCATTTGGATTCACGTAACTGATCTCAATAATGACACAGCATTAGATATTATCACCGCTAACTATGGCACACACAGTATAAGTATATTTTATGGGTATAGTAATGGAAGCTTTTCGAAACCAAGCACGTACTCTACGGGTTATGATTCTTTCCCATTTGCGGTTATCAGTGGTGATTTTAACAATGACCAACAGATGGATCTTGCTATCGCCAATTATGGCACCAACAACGTTGGTATAATGTTTGGAACTGGTAACAATACTTTTGCAAATCAAATCACGTTCTCAACGGGTCCTAATTCCCATCCATACTCGATTGCTGTTGGTCATTTAAACGACGACAACACGCTAGATATTGCGGTCACCAACAATGGAAATAATAGTGTTGGTGTTTTTCTGGGCCACGGCAATGGAACGTTCAAATGTCAAACGACCTATTTGCTCGGCACTGCTTCTCCATATTCTATTGGTATTGGTGACTTCAACAAGGACCACCGATTGGATTTAGTCGTTACCAATAATGGGACTAAAAATATTGCTGTGCTTCTCGGATATGGCAATGGCACCTTTGTAAGCCCAAAAATGGATTCAACTGGATCTTCTTCTTCGATTTACGTTGCCATAGGTGATTTCAACAGAGACGATCGTTTAGATATTTTCGTCATCAATAATGACACGAGCAGCATAGATATCTTACTTGGATATGACGAGTTTTTTCCAAATCAAACGAAATATCCAACTGGATCTTATCCGATCTCTGTAGCTGTCAGTGACTTTAATAACGACACCATATTGGATATCGTTGTCGCTAATAATGGTGAGAACACTGTAAGTGTACTTCTCGGATATAGCAATGGCTCTTTGGTAACACAAGTGAGATATTTCACTGGCACCGAACCAGAATGTGTAGCTGTTGGTGATCTTAATAATGACATTCGATTGGATATAATTGTCACTAATTTTCAGAGTCACAATATAAGCGTACTTCTCGGATATGGTAATGGTTCTTTTATGAATCAAACGACATATTCTACAGGTGCTCATCCGTCTGGTTTAGCTGTTAGTGACTTTAACAACGACACCCGACTGGATGTCGTCGTCACTAACTTTCGTGACGGGACTGTAAGCGTACTTCTCGGTTATGGCAATGGCTCTTTTGAAAATCAAGCGACATATTCAGCTGGTTTTACTCCATACAAGGTAGCTGTTGGTGATTTTAATAACGATACCCTGTTGGACATTGTTGTCACTAATTCTGATAAGAACAATACTGTAAATGTGCTTCTAGGATCTGGTAATGGCTCTTTTGCAAATCGAGTAGAATATTCAACTGGCACTAATCCAGAATTTGTAGCTGTGGCTGATTTTAACAATGACAGCTACTTAGATATCGTCGTCGCTAATTATGATGACAACACAATAAGTGTACTTCTCGGATATGGTGATGGCTCTTTTGCAATGCAATCGACATATTTAACTGGTGACAGGCCAATCGGTTTAGCAGTCGGTGATTTCAATAATGACACCCGACTAGATATTGTTGTAAGTAATACTGGAAATAATACCATAGGTGTATTCCTCGGATATGGTAATGGTTCTTTTGCAAATCAGACGACATATTCTATCGGTGCTTATCCATACACTTTAGCTGTTAGTGATTTTAACAACGATACCCGGCCGGATATCGTCGTCACTAATTTTATTGAAGATACTGTTAGTATTCTGCTCCGTTATGACAGAGGAGCTATGAAAAATGAAATTACATTTACCACCAGTACTGGTGCCCATTTGAGAAGCGTTGCCATTTCTGATTTCAATAACGATACTCTATTGGATATCGTCGTTGCTAATTATGGTAGTAATAACCTAGGTGTCAGTGTTGGATATGGAAATGGTACTTTTGGAAACGAAATGATATTCTCAACTGGATTAAAATCTCATCCTTATTCAATTACAATTAATGACTTCAATAAAGACGGTCAAGTGGATATTGCAGTGGCCAATCATGGTGCTAAAAGTCTTAGTACATTTCTGGGAAAGGGAAACGGAACGTTTGAAAGTCAAACAAATTATAGCACTAGTTTCGATTTTGCTCCATTGACTGTCGGTGTTGGTGATTTCAATAGTGATGGACATTCAGAAATTGTTGTGGCATATGATGATACTGACAATTTGGATGTGTTTGTTATACATGACATCGGAGATTTTTCTCGTCGAACGACATATTCAACTGATCCTTGGCCAATTTCTGTAGCTCTTGGTGATTTTAATAACGATACTCGACTGGATATTGTTGTCACTACTACGTATTTCAATAATGTAGCTGTATATCTTGGATATGGTAATGGCTCTTTTACAAGTCAAATGACATATTTAGCTGGCAATTATCCATCCTTTGTAGCTGTTGGTGACTTTAATAACGACGCCCGATCAGATATCGTCGTCACTAATTATTTGGACAACACTGTAAGTATCCTTCTCGGATATGGAAGTGGGTCTTTTTCAAATCAGACGACATATTCAACTGGCTCTTTCCCATTGTCTGTAGCTGTTGGTGATTTTAACAACGACAACCGACTAGATATCGTCGTCGCTAATTTTCATAGCGATTCCATAAGTTTACTTCTAGGATATGGCAATGGCTCTTTTGCAAGTCAAACGAATTATTCAACTGGCTCTTGGTCATTGTCTGTAGCTGTTGGTGATTTTAATAACGACATCCGATTGGATATCGTCGTCGCTAATTTTGATAGCAACTCTATAAGTTTACTTCTAGGATATGGTAATGGCTCTTTTGCAAGACAAGTGGAATACTCCTCTGGCACTAAACCAACATCTGTAGCTGTCGGCGATGTTAACAACGACAACCGACTAGATGTCGTCGTCACTAATCGTGATGACAACACTGTAAGTGTACTTCTCGGACATGGTAATGGCTCTTTTGCAAATCAGACGACATATTCTACTGGTGATGGGCCACTCGTAGTAGCAGTTGGGGATTTAAATAATGATACTCGACTGGATATTGTTATCGATAATTATCGTGACAACACTGTAAGTGTGCTTCTAGGATATGGCAATGGCTTGTTTGCAAATCAAATGACATATTCAATTGGCACTAGTCCAGCCCATGTAGCTCTTGGTGATTTGAATAACGACGGCCGACTGGATATCGTCTCCCCTAATTACAATGGTAAAAGTGTAAGTGTACTGCTAGGATACTTCAATCAAGCTTTTATAAAACAAACAACGCTCATAACTGGCAATGGATCTCGACCAATGTCATTTGCCACTGGATATTTTAACAGTGATAATCAACTGGATATAGCAGTCGTAAATTCGGGTACTAACACCATGGGCGTTTTTTTGGGATATGGCAATGGCTCCTTCGCAAATCAAATAGCATTTTCAACTGGCTCTACTCCAATGTCTATTGCTGTTGGCGATTTCAACAATGATACCATATTGGATATCGTCGTCGCTAATTCTGGCAATGACACTATTGGAGTATTTCTTGGATACGGTAATGGCTCTTTCTCAAGTCAAAAGACGTTTACGACCGGCTTCACATCTCTACCGTACGCAGTTGCTGTTGGTGATTTCAACAATGATACTTTACTAGACATTATCGTTGCTAATTATGGCATTAACAATGTAGGTGTGTTGCTTGGATATGGTAATGGTTCCTTTGCGGATGTAAAGTTTTTTTTCGACTGATTATGGATCTCGTCCGTTCTCAGTTTCCGTTGATGATTTTAACAATGATGGAAAGCTAGATTTCGCAGTCGCTAACAAAGGTGCTGACAATTTAAAAATTTTTTTACAGACATGTTAATGTTGAAACTTCTAACTTGCATTTTTTTTTCTTCTATTCACTGTTTCTAATTTCTACTTGGTGTTACCAATATTTCTTGTAAGTTTTTTTTTTTTACTATTTTTGTCTTGATTTATATATTCATATAAACTGTGGATGAACGCTAGGAAGCGAAACAAAATGTGATGCGTTTTCATCTTGCTTGAAAGTCCTATGAGATTAGTTTTGACGTCATATCTATTTTATGTTGATTCATGAAAATAGAATACTCAAATAGTTAATGAACGAAACAATAGCAAAATGTTCTTGAATGCTATGAAGTATCAGTTTAAGAGATGGGTGTGAGATGAGATATGTTTGAATGGCCACTATGATTTAGATTTCTGCAGGTGTTATGTAAAGAAAAGAGCAAATTAGCAAATCAATGAAACAAGCAACAAGAAGAACAACGTTCTTATACATATGAAACAAGAAAGAAAGTTTGTTTTCTTGTGTTTTTTTTCAATTCAAAAGAAAAAATAGTGTAGAGGTGGGTGTGGATTTTGTGTGGATGTAAACGTGTGGATATCATAAAAGAAAATACCGATCTCATAACCACACCCACAATCAGGATGTGGGTATGGTTGTTGGCGCGAGAGTCATTCGCGAATAGATCCACACCCACACCCTGTTCGCTGTGATCGTTAACTGTATCGGAAAAACGAAGACTGATTTACTTTGCTGCTCTTGGTTTAAGTGCATCAATACTGTAACTGTTGTGTTTTTTTACAAAGAAAAGGAGAAAGTTGGCTTACTTTACTTCTTTATTTTTTTTACCTATTCCAATAGTTTCCGAAGGTTTGACACAAGCAATACAATGATAAAAAAGGGCGTGGGTGTGAGTATGATAAGAAGATGTTTACACACACCCAAACCCTGTTTTCGCTCTTACACATGCCTTTTTCTTTTTCTTACCATCTGACATATAAGTGTCAGAACGGGACAAATATCATGCGCCACATTATCAACAAAAAATTACTTATTACAAACTTACTAAGAGGTAATTACTCAATACTAATGAAATGCATGTTGCGATGACAAAACATAGCGGATTAATGGTGACATTGATCTGCCAGAGCAACATCTTTTAAACTGATTTAAAGATAAACTCGACTACGTTTATATTATTATACGTTATATTATCAACAGAAACAGC